AGCCTCTTAAGTGTTATTGTGAGCTTCTCTACAAAGGGATTCTCTCTTTAGCTTACATCGATGCGTCCCCCATTTATGGCTCTTCCGTTGCTGATATGGCCAAGTTCCGAGAAGGAAGAACTGGTTTCCTGAAACTGCCCTCTTTCCATGGAATGTCAAGTAGGTTTTCGAGAGTTTGGAAGGGTTTTCTTGGTTCAAAGGCAGTGTGCGCGCTGGCTAGGAGTGGGCGGTTCCTGCCAAGCTCATTGGTGAATAAGCTGAATGGGGTGCGGTCAAACGGCTTTTTGCAGCCCTTCCACCAATGACGTTGGCAGCAACCACCCCCCCCCGGCCATTCTGCCCATTGCCTTTAGGAGTTTTTGGTTGTTTTGGTAGTCTAGACGGAGCAGTAGTAGTTATAAAAAATAAGAGTATTACTGCTGTTTGGTACTTGGTACCTCAAGCTTGGTCCTTCAAACCACACACGAACCGCAACCGCACAATCTGCCCTCGTCTGCGCTCCCTTGTCATTTTATGGTCACCGTGACTTCGCACAATCCTGCTATTCACAGATGATATAAAGATGGTTCACTCAATCCCAACCTCCTTTCCCTTGGAACGCTTGCAATGGCCCACCATGTGGTGTTTCTCACAGCTCAATGGTTCGATGGTGTGAATGCAGCGCGCGCTACGCCTTCTAGCGCGGGTGGAGCTGTTCGCCCTTGGAGGGGCATTTTGCACTTCCGCTAGTTCTTTTCGCTAGTTCATGTTAACTAATACGTCTTTTTTATTAAGGCCTTTAAACTCTTGTGGAGCTGCGAAATGGTACAAGTGAGCCACGTTGGCCATAAACTCGGAGGACTTTGAAAGATGGGCAGTACAGGCTTCGCTGAGTACCTTTGGTGATCCCACCAAGCCAAACTGTGACGCGCCGCTTTTTGCGCTATCGTATCTTGGATCATATAGACCATTCCCGTCAGATTCTCACAGAAGAACTGATTCCCTTCTTCAAACGATGGAAAATCTTGCTGAGGTGCTCAGTGTCCTAATGGTGACAGATCACTCTAATTGCGCTAATCAGTTCTACAAGGTAACAAAAAAACAGAAAAAAAGTCACTTGTAGAAATGTTTTTATGGGTATCAAACTGTTTCAGACAAGATTGATTCCCGGTTGAAATCTGGAGTGGTTCGCCTGGAGGAACCCATTCGTTCTGCACTTAGATTTCTCGACTAAATCTCATCCTTTGTGAAGAACCATCGGTAGCTGCTCAAAGAGTTTTCACAGAAAAGAAGTAGCGGAAAACTTAAGGACACCTTCCGCGAACCCAGATCGACTGTAGCGGGATTTTCGTGGGCGCTAAGTAGCCTGAAGGCAGCCCGTTACAGCCATTTGTGGCGGACGGGGTTCAAATAGGACTTCCACTGTCACTTACTGAAGTAACTCAGCCCTGGGGAAAAAGTAGAAAAACGTC